TTTTTTTTTGAGGAGGGGGGCCACAAAAGGATTCACCCTACACAAGGGGGCCTCCTGCTGAAAAAGTTTGAGAACCACTGATGTAGACAATATGTCAAAACAAAAAATCATCTAGACTATTATATTAACGCATTTTTCCCGATACATTTCCTGCACTGCTTTGGGGGGGTGCTGATTAGAGCGTGTTGCCGCACCACCACATGACTACCCACTTCAGGGATGACGACCCCAGTGCAGCCATGGGGCGGCCGATACCTCAGCACATGGCCAAAGGGCGGGCGATATCTCAGAACCACGGCCATGGGGCGGGCCATACCTCAGCACCAGGCTAGTTTGAGTGGAATGGAACAGTGTTATATTTTTCTGGTGGCTGGAGTGCCAATCCTGCCACCAACCCTCAAATTTCCGCTGTAAGTTGGAGGACCTCCTTATAGGGCTAGATGTAGGCTAGATTAACATCACACCCAGGACAAAGAAATTGCAGGTTAAGGGCTTTTCTCAAGGGCCCAACAGAGCAGGATCACTCCCAGCATTTACAGGATTCAAACCAGCCACCCTCAGATTGCCGGCATGGATCCCTGGATAACCACTGCCCAAGCCAACCCGGACCTCCCATCACAGACCAGAAGCTAAGATTGGGTTCTACTGTTTAGGCATGTTTTAAATTAATATTATGCCTATAATGCACATTTTGTAACACAGGGTCAAGACTGAATACCCACTTATCATTTCTGTAAGTATTTTATTATTATTTTATTGTCAATGTAGTTGCATGGATGTCAACCCTGTTTTTGGTGATGCAGGAAGGAACGTAGATGTTAATCTACAACTTTCATTAATCGGCAGAGAAACGCTTCATCAGCATGTGACCCAGCAGCCACTTGGAAGCTGCTTTCAGCACAGAAGAGTCATACTTTCATTTGCCGTTCATTGCCGTTGTTCATTGCCGTTCATCCGCGGGTTGTGTCTCTTGCCTTGTTATGATCAGCTGGTTAACATTTTTCAAAAGTCTTTTAAGACTAAATCTTGTTCACTCACCATATGAATAACTGTATAAAATTAAGGTTTAGTATTCATTAGGGCTGTCAAAATTAACGGGTTAACTCGGATTAATCCATCATCATGATTAATCTGATAAAAAAATTTTAACGCAATTAACCCATCTGCAGCGCAGAATGATTCAAAATCACTGAAATGTCTCTGTCAACCCATTTACCGGTAGTTTTAGTGCGTTCCATTTCCCCTCGGAACTTGTATTCCGAGTCGGATTCCGGAGTTTTGAAGCCGGAAGTGACTACATGCGCTCCCGTTTCTCGGACATCCGAGANCGACCCCTATGGCCCCTCCTACAGGTGGTGAGCCCATTGGAGGGGGGACCCACGTGCCTTGTTCGGGCTGTGCCCGACCAGGCCCCATGGGTGTAGGCCTGGCCACCATGCGCTCGCCATCGAGCCCCACCCCCAGGCCTGGCTCCAGGGGGGGGCCCCAGTGACCCGCGTCCGGGCAAGGGAAATCGTGAATCCATGTTTGTATTCATCATAAGGGTCTGACGAGCCGCACTTTGTCCGGTTCCTCACCCAGGACCTGTTTGCCTTGGGTGACCCTACCAGGGGCATAAAGCCCCGGGCAACTTAGCTCCTGGGATCATTGGAACACGCAAACCCCTCCACCACGATAAGATGTCGGCTCCCGGAGAGGTGTCGGCTCCCGGAGAGGTGTCGGCGTATTATTGCATTAAAAATGCATTTATATACAGTGGTACCTCGGTTCTCGAACTTAATCCGTTCCGGTCTCCGGATCGAATCCTAAAAAGTTCGAGTTCTGATTGATTTTTTCCCATAAGAAATAATGGCCACCCAAAATTACACCTAAATATGTTTTTTTAGCATTTAAACACAAAATGAACCGGATAAAACAAGAAGAGCATTTTTTTCTTAATGGCTTCCAAAACGATAAAGATCTTATCCTAACATAACCCCTGTCCTACCCCGATCATCCGCTCTTTCCGTGTGCCACGCCCCCTCGTTAACCTCGTGTGGGATACCCATGTGATCAGCTGTTTCTGGTTGTTGTCATTAGTCCTCTACATTAGTCCGCGTTTCAGTTTGTTTCCCCAGTCCGGTCATTGGGTGCGTTCAACTTGCTTACAGCGCTGGCTTAAAGCAACGCATTCTGATCCTGACGCAATGCATTACGGTTAGATGCATTGCGACCTTACCCGGCTGCACAAACTGGAACCGCCTCCGTGACGACACACCTTTGCCGTTATTGGCTGAAGAGTTTAGTCACACGCATGACGTTTGTATCCCAGGCAGTTCCGATGCGTAATCTGCTATTTCTCCCGAATATCACGAATATGGCTTGTATCACTCTTACAAACACAAGGCTGTAAAACCCCTACTGCTGATTATTTATCAGGTAAAAAGGACAGTTCCCAAAGCAGCACACAATCCCCCAGCCCATGTCCCCTCTATAGAGAGTTAGGCCTGCAGAATGCCTGCCTTGCTCTGCTCGGCCCCACAGGAGCTACTCATCTCGAACGCAGATTTTGTGACGGTGTGGAAGGAATTTGGCAGAAGTCGATTAGTTTAAGAGTCTGACAAAACTTTATTTCCTTTTGCAAATATTTGGGGAACAGGCACTCAGCAGTCTTCCATGCGTCTTGTGATCTGTTCCCCGAAAAACAGGTGCTTACATCTTTTATTAGCCAAAAATTACGACAGCTTACAGTCAGTCAAGGAGGGGTCAAATATGTGGACACCAGTTACAACTCCATAATGGGGCTCATTATCTGGTCAAGGCAGGGTCGACCTTTTCATGATCATTATCCTGTGCCCATTATCAGTTCAAAGAAGTTGAGTTCTTCATTTCAGTTCCCCATATGCTCTTTTGCTCTCTTTTCACATATCCTTGACCCCTAATATACATGCATTTCTTATATTGCAACAGTCTTACTTCTTGGGTCAGGGCTGTACCATGATCTGGTCCTTTTTGCAGCACAAGCTATCATACCAAAATACGTTAGTTCCTCTTATGCATGAAAGCCTAGTTTTCTAAGTGCAAGCTAATATTAACTGTTTAACAGATCAAATGCAACGTACCATACTTTTCTTTAACAAATCGTAATGCATTACATAATCATAGATCATTTAAATTGACAGTTGTAATATAAATGATAACATAGGTTTTATTAGTAATTACTGATTGGATTATTATATGATTTGCATGATATTGATTAATGGATGATATTTTTTCTATAACCGCAGGCCTCGCATAGCTCTTCCCTATGGGGGCCGGTCATCACCCTCTCAATATTGTCGCTGCCATGGCCTTGGGGGGCCGGGGCATTTCTCTCATGATAGCACTTCCTCCTGATCTCAAGAACGAGGTCGCGCAGGACAGTCCTCATGGACAACTCCAGCTGTTCATAATTCATCCTGCAATTGAGGCATCTCTGGCCAAAGAGCCGTATCATGACTTTTCCCTGATTCCTAAACCTCTCGTGGCGGTAGGCGAAGAGGACTACAGCTCTGTCTGAGGTCCATTGATTGGGACAGCTGCTGCACCTGAACCTGAAATGGGAGCCGTGAAGATACTTTATCATCCACACCGCCGGTGTCTGTGGCCGGGGCCTGCCGGTCCTCATACTGCTAAATGTATGAGCGATCATTCTGGACCAGTCACTCAGCATGCAAAATACCGTGTGGTCAGTGTTCATTCCTCATATCACACTATTTAAATTATTCATATAATTTAAAATTAAAACAATTATCACAGGTCCTGAAAGGGTCATTGTAAATCAGTTGAGTAAACTCAAAAACACATTTGTTTATAAAGTCATATATCATGGCTGTTAGCAGACCAAATTCACTTCGTTTTTTTCATATAACGTTGCACGTCATGAAGTTCTACAGGGTAGCTTTTTTTTGTTGTAATTTTAAGAATGCATAATTATTATATATAGTAATAAAACATCTAAAAAAAAATGACAGTTTCCGCGAAAAGGTGGCCTCACCGTCCGTGAGCACGGCGATGGTAAACCCTCCAGCCAATTATCGTCCCGTTGTTAGTCAGTCTCTCAGGCAGGTTGTGCTTAAACTCTAGCCTCCAGGTGTCACTGTCAGGAAATGTTGTCCGTTTCAACTGATTGAAGGTTCTCTGCCAGTCATCGAGAGTCTGGCCTGATAGTTAAGGATATCAAGTCAGGCATACCAGCTTTATAATTATAAAAGATATGATGCCTGATATATGTTTGCTGTATGGTCTGTGTTGCTAATAATTGTTCAATAATAGGAGAACGTACAAAATATGAATTATCATTAATTATTATTATACGAACCTGCAGCCATTTTGTACAACCTCCTCCTGTCGAGAGAACCCAAATCCCCGGTGTGTTGTCTGTTCCTGACGATGACTGACTTTAGGCAGACTGGCTTCTCCGTTCTTGGACTCGGACGCATTTTAACCGTTTTATGCCGCCCGGCCTCTGTGACGTCAGGAAACCGAAACCAAACAGCCATGTAATTATTGTGATTCAGTTTGCTTTAATTTCTTTTCATTTTGTTTCATTTCCATTCGTCTATCGCCCAGGGGGAGACAATGACTATGAAATGTTTTGGTAACACTTCACTTGATGGGGCACAAATACGTAGCAATAAGTCAGTTACTACTGAAAAAACACAGTCGCTACTTCAGATAACAGTAATTGAGACTATATTGATCCCCATGGGGAAATTGTCTTTATGCCTCCCTCAGCTTGTTCTTTGTGGAGTAAGCTGTCTGCAAAGAGCAGCCACCTGCAGTGGTGCCCAGGGAGCTGGGGGGGGTAAGGGTCTTGCTCAAAGACCCGCAGACATGCTGAGGCTGGGTTTAAACTAGTAACCTTGTGATTACAGGTACATAGGCTTAGCCCACTGAGCCACACGCTGCCCCATAAAAGATAAAAGATGCGTCATGATTCATTAATGAAGAACAAACATGAGATCAGTATTTGCATTGTTATTCATGACTTGTTCCTTCAGTCGTTCACAAAGATGTAAAGAAGTATCAGATATAGTAACAAATATATTATTCTATAATAATATATAAATATATTGAAATAAAACATGTCACGATTCATTCATGATAGATTAACAAGAGACCAGTATGTAACTAAGACTTTGTGGTTTGTTTGTGGTTAATTACTGCATAAGTAATAGCATAATGCTACATCATTTGTGCTCCGTCAAAGTGTTACCAATGTTTTATGTATAGTCTAAGTGTGACAAAATACAGTAACGCTGTTGTCGCGTTGGAGCGACCCAAAGGCAGGCTGTCGGTAAGTAACCCCAAGTAGGGTGTTTATTGCAGGGGAACCAGGCAGGGCAGCGACGCGGACAGAGAACGATAACCGAACGGGGAGCCTCTCATTAGGAGACACTTTTATACAAGATTAACAGAGGAGGAAACACGGGGCAACTGTGGCTGGTTATCAAGGGGACAGGAACAGGAGGTGAGACTAACGAGACTAACAAGTCTAACGAGCTTCATGCATGGCTGATCAGCAGCCACGCCCAAGGGAAACGCGGGGGCTGATTCTGGTTCTGTAGCTATTTAGGCTAATTGTGAATCTGAAA